TCTTCCTCATAATTTTATACATCTCAATCACGTCCCCCAGCACCCCCCACCCTCCCCGACCGCCCTCAGTATCCTCTGAGCCAGTCTGTCGAATCTCTCTTCATAACTAAAACTCTCCAGACCAGGCAACTCCTGGTAAATCTCCTCTGCATCCTCTCCAGTGCTATCACATCCCTCCTTTAATGTCGATTCCAGAACTGAAAACGTTTTGTACAATTCCAGCGTAACCTCCCTGCTCTTAAATTCTGTGCCTCAACTAATAAAGGCAAATATCTCTTAGGCTTTCTTAACCACTTTACCAAACTGTTTTGCAACCTTAAGGGACTGGTGTACAGGTACACCAAGGTTCCTCGGTGCTTCCCAGGGTCCTACCATTTATTATGTATTCCCTCCGCATTGTTTGTCCGGCTCAAGTGCACCACCTGGACTTACCCGGACTGAATTCCATTTGCCACTGATCAGCCCATCTGACTAACCCATCTGTATCCTCCTGTAGACTATATCCCTTGCTGTTCACCACCCCTAATTCTTTTTAGACAAAGTAATCAAGGGGTAGATGCAAATATGGAATTCAAAACGCAAACAGATCTCATTGACTGGCAGAGGAGGCTCAAGGGATTGTGCTGCTAGCACTATTTATCATGGTTGATGGCTACACTTTTAATAGGAGACTCTAAGTGAAAGGTTGTTACAGGAGAGTTTTGGCGTCTTCGATGGCAAAAGTATCGGAATTTTACAGAGATGTTACCAAAGATCGTGTGCGTAATAATGTGTATTGCACCCCTCAGTGGCCCTTTCTATTGTCTTTGCTGAGCTTAGTACTAACCAGTGCTTCAAACTGGAGATGACTTGATAACAGGACTATTGGTAGTTTTACCCACTGAAGTGAAAATTGATGTGTTTGGAGCTGCATAAAACATGTATATCAGCATGAAGCTGATAGGTTTCCACATATTTAAACATCAAGTCATATGGAGATAATGCAGGAAAATAGTGCTGAAGTAGAAAACTAGCATGATCTCGCTGAATGGCAGAGCAGGTTTGAAGGGCTGAATGGCCTATTCCTGCTCCTGTTTCTGAACGGTCTCATATTCTTGCTGTAATGAATTTCTTAAACTAAAACTGTCTACACACAATAGCCACCAGAGGGAGTAAAAGTGCTAACTTTATGTTTAAAAATTTTATTCAGAAAGGAATGGGGAAACTGTCGGCAGATGTCGAAAGTCTTAAATAAAATGCAGAGAAAGGTTGAGAAACTCAGGTTAGAAAACATGCATGGGGAGAGAAAAATGCAGCAAATATTTCATGGATTCTATTCCTTCACAGGAACTTCCCAACCTGCTGAATATTTCCAGAGATAGTAGGAACTGCAGATGCTGGAGAATCTGAGATAACAAGGTGTAGAGCTGGATGAACACAGCAGGCCAAGCAGCACCAGAGGAGCAGGAAGGCTGACGTTTCGGGTCAAGACCCTTCAAGGAAGGGTCTTACCTGAAACGTCAGCCTGCTGAATATTTCCAGTGTTCTTGCTTATTATGAAGAACAGAATTGGCATTGAATGGAAAATAACTCACCAGCAGAAATGGCATAAGCCCAATGGGTAATTTCAAAAACTCAGTTTGTGTTCGCTCCTGCTCTTAACTCCCCTCCCTTTTCTCTCCCTCACAGACTCACCATAATCTTTTGAAAGGAAAATCCTCCTCAACAAATCTATTAACATTTTTGAGGGAGTATCTGGCAGGGCAGATAAGAATAGTTTGCATTGGGATTTTCAGCAGGCATTTGATAAAGTGTCAAGTGAAGTTATTGCACAAGACTATGGCTCATGGGCTCCAGGGTAATATACAGTAGTGGCATGAATTGAGATGTTGGCAAACAGGAACAAAAGGGAGCCGGAATAAATGGGTCATTTTCAGGATGGAAGACTGTAATTGTTGGCCTGTCAGCTATTTACAATCTATATCAACGATTAACTGACAGGACCCAAAATAAGACACAAAATTGGCTGAGGGATCAGAAACAGAGAGTAATGATGAATGAGAGATAGTAGGAACTGCAGATGCTGGAGCCCGAAACGTCAGCCTTCTTGCTCCTATGATGCTGCTTGGCCTGCCGTGTTCATCCAGCTCTATGCCTTGTTGTCTCAGTAATGATGAATAGTTTTTTTGGGGGGAGAGGTCTAGAAGAAAGTTTGTAGTGGAGCTCCAGGAATCAGTATTGGACCCTTTGCTTTTCTTCATATTAATGACCTAGATCTTGAGGACCTCAGTGAAAGGTACAATTCCAAAGTTTGTGGATGGCACAAAACTTGGGAGAATTGTAAACAGTGAGGAGAATGATTTATTGACTTCAAAAGGACATTGACACATTGGCGGAGTGGGTGAATAGATGGCAAGTGAAGTTCAGTACATAGTGGAGGCAATGGCCTAGTGGTACTATCACTGGACTACTAATCTAGAGACGCAGATAGCGTTCTGGGGACCTGGGTTCAAAATCCTGCCACGGCAGATGGTGGGATTTAATTCAATTTTAAAAATCTGTAATTAAGAATCTAATGATGACCATGAATCCATTGTCAATTGTTGGAAAAATCATCTGGTTAACTGATGTCCTTTAGGGAAGGAAACTGCCATCCTTACCTGATCTGGTCCACGTGTGACTCCAGACCCATAGCAATGTGGTTGATTCTGAACTGCCCTCTGGGCAATTAGGGATGGTCAATAAGTGCTGCCTAGCCAGCGATGCCCACATTCTGTTCATGAATTTTAAAAACAGTGTGAAGGTGTTATGGAGATAGTAGGAACTGCCAATGCTGGAGAATCTGAGATAACAAGGTGTAGAGCTGGATGAACACAGCTGGCCAAGCAGCATCAGAGGAGCAGGAAAGCTGATGTTTTGGGTCGAGACCCTTCTTCAGAAAATGAAGGTGTTATGCTTTGGCAGAAAGAACATAGGAAGCGTGACAGTGTAAGATAAAGGGCACCATTCTAAAGGGTGTGCAAGAGTAAAGATACCTGGATGTATATGTACATAAGTCATTAAAGGTAGCTGGACAGGTAGAGAAAGCTGTTTCTAAAATATACAGCGTTCCAGGCTTCATAAATAGACCATAGAATACAAGAGCAGGGAGGTTATGATGAACTTATATAAGACACTGGTTAGACATCAGTTGTGTGCAGTTCTATAGGAAGGATCTGAATAGCATGAAGAGAGTTTTATGAGAATGGTTACAGGGATAAGACATTTGAGGATAGGTCAGAAAAGTTGGGACTGTTTTCCTTGGACTGGAGAAGGCTAAGAGGACATTTGAAAGAAGTTTTTAGAGTCATGGGGGTCTGGACTGAGTAGGTGCGGAGAAACTTTTCTGGCACTTAAATGGATTGAGAAGTTTGTTTTTCAAAAGAAGTGAATATGAGATGAGTAAAACCATTTTCATAGAAGCTGGGAATATTGGTCTGTGAGAGGACACAGACATTGGATTTTCAGAATTTTGCAGATACATTGCTGATGATATTTCTCCAGGGATGTGAGGTGTCTGCTGTACATTATCTATTCCCCTGAATCACACAGAAGGACTGTGGCCTGGTAGACCATGAGCTTGGTGCTGTGTTTGAGGTCTTTGTCATCAAACATTATTTCTCAGATAGCCACAGGCTGCACTGGAACACTGGAGTTCCACTGTTAATGACTGCCCTTCATGATAGTGGGCACCCATGGTATGAGAATTGATTCATGGTGTTCAGTGGCATGCCATTGATCTTAATTGGCACAAATCAGGAGCATGAGGAAATACTCCCCAGAATAAGTGCAGCTCCAACAATACTCAAGAGGCTTGACACCATCCAGGACAAAGCTGCCCACTTGACTGGCGCCACATCTTCAATATTCACACCTTCAACCACCATTGCACAGTTTCAGCAGTATGTACTATCTACAAAATACAAGGCAGTAACCCACCAAGGCTCCTTAGACAGCACCTTCCCCGTCCATGACCACTACCATCTTGAAGGTCAAGAATGACAGATGCATAAGAACACAATATCTCCAAGTTCCTTTCCAAGCCACACACAATCCTGACTTGGAACTATATCACCATTCCTCCACAGTTGCTGGATCAAAATCCGGGAACTCCCTCCTTAACACTGCTGTAAGTGAACCTACGCCATATGGGACTGTAAGTTTAGGAAAGCAGCTCACCACCATGGGCAGTTAGGCATTGGCAATAAATGCTGACTTAGCCACTGAACTCACATCCCATCCTACTATCTCTGAATAAATAAAGACTGTAGAAGATCAATCTTGACCTCACTGAATTGGACGGAGGTTTCAAGAGATTGTCTGCTCTTCTGCTACTATCCTTATTAGCGCTCCTTCCCCACACCCGTCAATTACAATCCATCCTTCGTTCCCTGTTGTTATCTTTCTTTCCCTCCCTACCCTTCCCACCATTACTTATTTCCCCTTTTATTCCCTACTCCTTTTTTTCTTTACCTTCCCAATTCAACCTCAGTTTTCCTCTTTACCTACCTCTCCATTCCTTCTGTCCTCTTCTCCGCCCCTTTCCTTTTCGGTCCTTTCTCACCCTACTCTTTTCTGACAACACTGTCCATCCCCCCCACAACCCCCGGACCCCAGACCCCATCCTTCCACCTCTCTCTCTCTCTCTCTGCTGGTGTCTAACCTACTCTCCCTCACTCCCACTATCTGTCTCTGTCTCTCAGTCTCCATTTGTCACTGTCCAGCTCACTGCAGCAACGTCACTGTGACAACTGCTGGACTTTAATCTGGACCCGTTTCCCTGGTAACCGTGACCCACTTGTATGTCTCCTGTGTATCAGACATCAACATTTTAAAGTCTACCGAGCCCCGAGATGAGCTTTTCGTTTGCATCGTGGATAGTATCCCATCTGTAGGGTTGGACGAGTTAGTTGGAAGGAAGCACATTCGACCCTCCTTATTTAATTTCTCCTTTTATACATATATCCTATATCTGGTCTCTGATGGACACTTGGTGTTTAAATATCGCATCCAGGAAGTCTCTGCTGGTGACACCAGATGGAGGGGTCCCGGGACTGCCCACCTGGTACAAGACGCCAACTCATGCTTTAGTTCAACTCGACGCCCACAAGTGTATTCTGGGTAAGAGCTGCAAGTGGTTACACCCAAACCAGGGGAGAGGAGTGTGAAGCTGCAGTGTGTGTGTGTCTATGTGAAGCTGCAATGTCTGTGTGTGAGAAGCTGCAGTGTCTGTGTGTGTGAGAAGCTGCAGTGTGTGTGTGTGTGAAGCTGTAGTGTCTGTGTGTGTGTGTGAGAAGCTGCAGTGTCTGTGTGT